CCCTTAGCATTAGGTAATTTTCTGAAAGTTAAAATTTTGCTGTTCCCATCCCCTAATCCTGTCTAATCAGCAAAAAACGGGGTGTGCAAAATTACAGCTCAGTCAGAAGACTGTTAGGCTGGAAAATAATATAAGCAATGATTAGTTCCGTTCAAAAGCGCTATGCTGTTCCCTATCGCAACCATTTTCTTTTTTCTTAGAGAAATTTATGTGTACACATCCAGACAACTCCAGCAAATATTTAAAACGTTCTGAATCAAATATTTAATAGTTAATTAGAAAAATTTCTGAAATAACATGTAAAATTTAAGAAATATTAGGTTTTCTTAATAAAACACACAACTTCTATATGAGAAACGCCTTTTTATTTACAACTAGCAGTAGAGCCCGGCGTTGCCCGGGAATGTAACAGTAAGAGATAGATCAAGTATCGACCATCATAAAGACTGAAAAATAAAATTGACAAAGATTATTGTTTAAGATTGACGGACACGCATGTCTTAATTAGTTTTTTTTTTTTTTTTACGAATTGGTCAAACCCAAACTCAAACAAAAACATTGTTTTCAATCGTTATGAGTCTACCGATTGAATAGAATTTTATTATAAACAATTGTCTTCTAAATGGAATTTTTAAAGCATTCTGAATGTAAAAATAAAGAAAAAAGTGTGCAAGACAATAAGAAACACTACATACCAAAAAAAAGTGAAGTTTTGTTGAAATCGGTTGAAAAATGTAGGAAATTCGATCCCATATATAAACGAACACACACACACACACACACACACACACACACACACACACACACACAACCTGGGTTTTATAATAAGTATAACTCGATATGAGTTGTCCCCCTTTCATTTTCGCGATGCCTCTTAATCGTGTTTTCAAATTGATTTCGTGGAAAAACAATTGTGTTTTTCCAATTTCGCTGTCAGAACCACCGCATGGTAATTTTACGTAGTCCTGTGAAGTTTTGTTGAAATCGGTTGAAAAATGTAGGAAATCCGATCCAATATATAAACGTACAGACACATACACACACACAACCTGGATTTTATAATAAGTATGATGTTCTAGTTTCTATAAAAATGACAATGCTAACTACTGAAATTAAACATCAGGAATAAATAAACTCCTAAGTCTGAGTCAAAAAATGCGCATTAAAAAATTTGGCAGTTAATAGGTTAAAGACTTCTCGCCATGAGATAACTGAAATTGTTCTTGAAAGAGGTATATCTTGAATGCATAAATTTTTTTTTGTCATCCACCTAGCAAGATTTACAGCTCCTGGTGTACGAAACGATATCCTGTTTTTCGGAATGCTGCCAAGGGAGATCACCGTTAACTCCAACGGTTCTCAGTAATCACCTGACTGTTGTTTCTGCGTAGAAAGGTGGTATTCAAGAAATCCAAGAATGGCAGAGTGAAATTCATCTGCCACTTCGTTACTAGCAATTATGTAAACCTTCTTATTGAGTTTCATCCAAGTTTCTCGAAATCTTTTGAAAAACTCTATGTCTAGACCAGAAGTTGCACCCATCAGTAAGTCGAAACAGCTCTTCAAAACTAACTCAAAAATATCATGATGGCAAGGGAAATACAAGTCATGATTTAACTATTTTCTAGATTTTTACAGGCATTATTTACTCGACGTGTGTTATTTGCTGTCGTATCACAGCGAAGTGCCTGAATTTTGTCGGTTATGCTCCACTTCTCCACTGCTTGGTAAACAGACACGGCTTGCTGTTCTCCTGAAGATGTTGTTATTTCACGGACTCCCAACAATTGCTCCTTGCCTTGAAATTTTACTATTATTTCCGGTCAATATCAATCTTTTCACCGCTGAGTGCTGGTAGCAGCTTTATGTTTCAGCGCAACACTAATTGCTGTGCTATAATTTCTGTGTGTCTGGCTTCTCTAAATTTTTTCTAAGGCGTTTAAAAAAAACGTGCGATTTTATTACCAGGTTTTCAGTATAACGCCTGAAAGCTTCTTCAACAGTCATGTTAACCCATTTGCACCTATCAAAAAATCTCAGCGAGACTCGGAGTAAAAAAACGTATACCTCGAATTGCTGGAACTGTTGTCGCTAAGCGGTTGTTGCAATTGCTTATATTTGCTGAACGATGTCAGAGAAATTTTCACTGTCGTCACCACCACAAATGTTTTGGCTGCTTGATGTTGAATCATCAGTTTCTAATGTAGAGAACTGATGAGTATCAAAATTTTGTCCCGTTTCTTCATAAGTCCTTTTTTTTCTGGCAGTTTCTATTGCAGTGTGCTTCAGTGCTCTTTCTTCCTTGTTTTTTTTTTTAGTTTTTGATCTACGTCAACCATTGAACTATTTTGTCCTTTTTGGCACTGAAGCGCTTCATATTCTCTTCAATTTTTATCTGTCCCAAAACATCTATGTCAAAGAGATCGTCCATCTTTTTTCCCCCAAAAAATTCTCTTTTTTTCTTTTTCCTTGCCTGCAGTAGTAGTCAAATTTTTCTGTAAATCTTTCCATTTATAACAGAGTTTGAGTAGCTTATCAACGCAGTGGTCAGTTTTCCGAATCACTAATGCTACGCTTTCCTTCTTATTATCATTTAAAACCCCTACATTGTAGTAAAAATCGCTTACAAATTGCCGATTCGAGAGTAGTTTGGCTCTCATGATTTGACTGGAAATGTAGCCAACAAGAGTAATATGAAAATCGTTTTCTTAACTTGGGTGATGAACTACCAGAAGAAGTTGACGCCATTTGCAGGTATAGGAAGAACGCGTCACAGAAGCCACTTTGTACCTGCACAAAGAGTTCTTAAAGAAAAAAAAAGGAAGAATTAGTCATCAAAAGCATTATATTTGGTGACAAAAGGACGTAATATTATAAAAACGGATAGGTTATAATACTGGTTTTACAACTTTGTCAGGGCTACCAGCACAACAGGGAAAGATCTATATCATAACAGCACAACAAAATGAAAGAGTGCTTAAAAGTTATTACAAAAAAATTTACAAACACGGTCGACGACAAAAAATAGTTGTATGCCATATACCTGTGCTCAGCCCCCGTTTTTGCACGTTGCCTTCCCTATTTTATTTATTGCCACCAAGAATAACTCTGAACAATTTTTTTTTATTATTATTTAAGACAAAATTATATAAGAGATAACAATTTTATCCGAACAAAAAAAATGACTTTCTGAACGAAAAATTCCAAATTTCAAGGTCGATGAAGGTCAAATGCAGTTATCCGCTTGACTTAAAATTTTGCATAGATTGATTTTCTCTTAATTGGGACAAGACAGGGGCTTCGGAGCTAAACGTTTAGAATATTGAAAAATAAAGGTCACATGAACACTGAAATATTTAAACAATTTAGTGCTGCTTCTCTATTTTTAACGTTTTCCAATGTAAAATTGTATACTCACTATATATAACGTTTATAGATGTATACAATATGTAAGTGTCACACAGATACTACACTCTGATCCTTCATTTACACAATCACCCACACTAACCAAGTGAATAACGTGTCGACACAAGGTTGGAATCAGCGGGTTTAGACATCCTAGAGAACGTTACAAGGGAGAGAGAACATATACGATGCTTTGATTCAGTATTTACTCGCCCAAACCACGAGGTCGTTTTTAATGTCGGGTAGCCATACGTGTACATATAGGCCAAATATAAAAATTGATTGCCAAGTCCCTCGACCACTGTCACTCTGGCGTTGGTATCCACTTACCCTCCCTCTTTAGTACAATGGGGGAGGTGCTGCACAGAGTTGAATACTGTCGAATATTGTCGAATACTGTTCCTATATATTTCCTATCTCTCTCTTTATCTGTGGTTAATATCTATCTATCTATCTATCTATCTATCTATCTATCTATCTATCTATCTATCTAATACTGTTTTTATATCTTTCCTATCTCTCTCTCTATCTATCTATCTATCTATCTATCTATCTATCTATCTGTCGAATACTGTTCTTATATCTTTCCTATCTCTCTCTCTCTGTGCCTATCTATCTATCTATCTATCTATCTATCTATCTATCTATCTATCTATCTAATAATGTTCTTATATCTTTCCTCTCTCTCTCTCTCTCTCTCTGTGCCTATCTATCTAATAATGTTCTTATATCTTTCCTCTCTCTCTCTCTGTGCCTATCTATCTATCTATCTATCTATCTATCTATCTATCTATCTATCTATCTGTCGAATACTGTTCTTATATCTTTCCTATCTCTCTCTCTCTCTCTGTGCCTATCTATCTATCTATCTATCTATCTATCTATCTATCTATCTATCTATCTTATATCTTTCCTCTCTCTCTCTCTCTCTCTCTGTGCCTATCTATCTATCTATCTATCTATCTATCTATCTATCTATCTATCTATCTATCTAATAATGTTCTTATATCTTTCCTATCTCTCTCTCTCTCTGTGCCTATCTATCTATCTATCTATCTATCTATCTATCTATCTATCTATCTATCTATCTATAAATCTTTCGAATACTGTTCCTATATATTTCCTATCTCTCTCATTATCTATCTATCTCTCTATCTATCTAGATCATTTGCATCTATCAATAAGATAGACGATTCCGAGAGAATTAGAAGCCTTACCAGGATTTATTACTGGCAGCTACAATCTTAACAATATAAGATAAGCTAGGCAGATTTCACAATACTGATAGAAAACACGGAAAGGAAAACTTCTGTTGTTAGGCATACAAATAATTTTCTAAATTCAACAATCTGGTTATTTTCATTCTTACGGTGGTAATATTATAATGTCGCCTAAAATTAAAAACTATCGCTGTTTGAAAAAGAAACGACGTCTGCATATAAACAAGAGTGGAAGATGTTTTCTTCGTTAAAAAAAAAAATCTTGTCACGCTCAACGTTTTATTAATCATAAAAAGAAAAACTGCAGAAATTTTGTCAGTCATTCAAATCTGCTTACGTGGGTGAATGAAATGATTAATGTTGAAAAGGGTGTGGATGCACGGAAGCTTTCCACCATACAAATCTATCTATCTATCTATCTATCTATCTATCTATCTATCTATCTATCTATCTATCTATCTATCTCATTCTATTCAAACTATCTTGTTCTGTTCATCTCTTTCTCTCTCTCTTTTCTCTCTCTTTATATATATATATATATATATATATATATATATATATGTGTGTGTGTGTGTGCTTAATATCTATTTGTGGTTAATATATTTCTCTAGGATAATCATCTCTTTCATATCTCTCTCTTGATTTAAAAATCTATCTATGTGTGTGTGTTGTGTATATATATATATATATGTATGTATATATATATATATATATCTGTGTGTATATATGTGTGTGTGTGCTTGTTTGTGTGTGTGTTCTTTCTATCTATGTAAAAAAATATCTTCGAATACCGTTCTTATCTCCTTCCTATCCCTCACTTTATCCGTGTTTTAATATCTATCTATCTATCTATCCAAATCTGTTTTCATCAAAAAAGTGTGCTGTATAGGCATAATATATATATATATATATATATATATATATATATATATATATATATATATTTTATTAAAGACATTTTTATGTTTAACGTTGTTATTTATAGATGATTTAATGTTGTTTAAAAACAGTATTAAATAACATTTACCGGAAGACTGTCCGAAAACCATATGTATATTTAATATGTATATATATATACATATATAAATATACATTTATATATATGCAATATATATGCAATATATATACAATATATATATATACAATATACATATATATACACAATATATATATATATTGTTGTTTTTTTATTGTGGCTTTATAGGTTTTCTTTTATGACCATTAGGAGTGTGTAGAAACTATCCTGTATTGATTATTGTCGAAGACATTTTCGATTAATTAATAATCATCTTCAAGGAGTTTGCTGTTAATATAAATTCATGTCTAATAGATGTAGCAGTAATTCCATACTGGGGAACCATGATAATACTCTCCAGTTAGTTGTGACTAATGTAGTGTGTTGCTGTATACTGTTTTATAAAAAGTGCTTCTGTTATCTTTAAGCATCCGTTACAATTAAATGTTTCCTTTAAATGACAGTATTAACTACAATGATTTTCCCATAGACAATTCGTTGCATGTGTGTCTGCGTGCGTGTTTGAATGCCTCTGCGTGTGCACTTATTTCCATTGTATAACAATTAGTCCGCATCTCTGCTCTTTGTTTCAGAGTCACTTATCTTTAGAAATGTTTTATCTCCAGCATGTCATTGTCATTGCCGACCTGGAAGTCATGAATATCACATGATATTGTTACACTCATCTAATAATGATAATAAATAATAATAGCAAATATTATGTTCATATCGATAACCACTATGTTAGATTTCATTAAACAACTCGATATTATTACTATCGTTATCTGCTGATACGAAGTGGAAAGATGATATTGAATCAATTGCTAGTTTTGGTTCAATGTGTCGTGATAGTGTTGTGGTGGACACCTACAGTAAAATGAACTCTTCTTCCTCTCATAACTACGAGACTTCTTGGCGAGAGTCGTTGAGCAGTCTCTGACTGTGTGCGACTTCTGTCGAACTGTCTGCTTTGGCAGAGAGGAATCCGGACGAGGCTTTGCCGGAGAGCAATGTTTCGTCCGGGAAGGTGGACAGATCCCGAACCCGCTTATGCGGGTTCAAAGGGGATATTTTTGGCCGAGCCTACGGGCTCGGAGAAACCCACGTTAAACTCGGCCTTGTGCCACATACATTCCTCGTGGGGGGACTGTTAAATATAGAGTTGTGAGGCAGTAGGTTGAGAAAGCGGAGACGCAGTGTTAACCTACCGTTCGGACGTACACTTTTAACTGCTTATTACTAACACTCTTGCTTTGTATATATCTGTTATTTCGATACACTTTTTCAACCTACCTTCGTCTCCCGTGTCTTTCTTTCTGGCCCTTAAACAGGGAGACAACTTTTTTCGACAGAACCTGTCTTAAATATTCTTATGACTACCATTCGTCCACGCATTGAACATGGTCTGGTCTGGTGCTTCTGCTATATCTTTAGAGATTCTTGATAAAATCCAAAGAAGAATCTGCAATTTTATTGGTCATGACCTTGCATCTCAGTATCAGTCACTCAGTAATTGAACTTTCCTCTAAGGTATCTCGACTTTATGAATTTAAGTACGGTACTAAATGTGCGTTATGATGTAATGCATATCGTCTCGGAATGAAAATTCGGAGAGCCGAGTTCGAATACCAGTCGAGTTCATTCGATTCACTTATGCACAAATACCCATGGGAAAGGTATGAATCCATCTCTTTTCCCCCTGACTATGAGTTGAATGGCAGAACAGACTAGATTCTTTAGCCTTGGTTGGCAACCAGCAGAAAGAAATGGCAACCTACTGCGGGAAAAATCTTCTGCCTCGTCAGTCATGTATCGAAAGATACATGATCGCCCAAGCGTGTATCACGTGTGGCACTTAACTGACTGACTAGATTGGCGCCAAGGTTACATCATTTTACTGTTGAAATGGCTAGATGTAATCGTAAGTTCTACACTAACAGTTTCTTCTCTCGCACTTCTCGCTTGTGGAGCTCTCTTTCGGCTTCTTGCTTTCCAGTTAACCGTAATCTTCAAAAGTGTAAAGGCAATGTCAATCACTATCTTCTGTGTCCTTAATTCTTTTTCTTTTATTGTTTTGTCGTTTTAATAATGCGTCTTAGTGGTTTTATTGCCTTCTTTGGAGTGAATTTGTTAAACAAATTTCAATGTTATAGCAGTAAAATTGGTATTAATCAATCGATGTTGGTAATCCTTACGGGATATGCATGTTTTTTGGCAGTAAATATGAACTTCAGATTAAAATATCAATTTCTGTAAGAAATGTTTACAAGAACTTATTTATTCTAGAGATATTTTTTTCATTTTGTTATATATCACATATTTCTTTCTTTCTAGATTGCTTTTGTTAAGATCTTTCTCCCTTCATTCCTTCTCTCCTTCCTTCCTTCCTTCCTTCCTTCCTTCCTTCCTTCCTCCTTTCTTCCTTCCTTCTGTCTTTCTTTCCTTCCTTCCTTCTCTCCTTCCTTCCTTCTCTCACCCTTCCTTCCTTGCTCTCCTATTATTTCCTCCTTCCTTCCTTCCTTCCTTCCTTCCTTCCTTCCTTCCTTCTATCTTTCCCTTCTTTCTTTCTTTCTTTCTTTCTTTCCTTCCTTCCTTCCTTCCTTCCTTCATTCCTTCCTTCTCTCACCCTTCCTTTCTTGCTCTCCTTTTATTTCCCTCTTTCCTTCCTTCCTTCTCATTTTCAGCCATGATCTTTTTGTTTCTCTCATTCCATTCGATTTGTTACATATCACGACTTTCCTTTTTCGTTGTTTATTTGTTTTTTCTGTCTTAACATCTCCATTTGCTTCTTTCTTTCACTTCCACTCCTTTTATATATGACGCCTTTCGTTCTTTCTTTCTTTCTTTCTTTTTTATATATCACATCTTAACTTTTTCTTCCTTCTTTCTCTCCTTCCTTTCTTCTTTCTTTCTCTCTTTCTTTCCTTCCTTACTTCTGTCCTTCCTTCCTTCATTCCTTCCTTCTTTCTCTCTTTCTTTCTTTCCTTCCTTCCTTCCTTCTTTCCCTTCCTTCCTTGCTCTCCTATTATTTCCTTCCTTCCTTCTCTCCTTCCTTCCTTCTTTCTTTCTCTCTTTCATTCCTTCCTTACTTCTGTCCTTCCTCCCTTCCTTCCTTCCTTCCTTCCTTCCTTCCTTCCTTCCTTCTCTCACCCTTCCTTCCTTGCTCTCCTAAAATTTCCTTCCTTCCTTTCTTTCTTCCTTCCTTCCTTCTTTCTTTCTTTCTCTCTTTCTTTCCTTCTTTACTTCTGTCCTTCCTTCCTTCATTCCTTCTCTCCTTCCTTGCTTCCTTCCTTACTTCTGTCTTTCCTTCCTTCCTTCCTTCCTTCCTTCCTTCCTTCCTTCCTTCTTTCTCTTTCCCTTCCTTCCTTGCTCTCCTATTATTTCCTTCCTTCTTTCCTTGCTTCTTTCCTTGCTTCCTCCCTTCTCCTTCCTTACTTCTTTCTTTCTCTCTTTCTTTGCTTCCTTACTTCTGTCCTTCCTTCCTTCTCTCCTTCCTTCCTTCCTTCCTTCCTTCTCTCACCCTTCCTTCCTTGCTCTCCTTTTATTTCCCTCTTTCCTCCCTTCCTTCCTCCTCATTTTCAGCCATGATCTTTTTGTTTCTCTCATTCCATTCGATTTGTTACATATCACAACTTTCCTTTTTCGTTGTTTGTTTGTTTTTTCTGTCTTAACATTTCCATTTGCTTCTTTCTTTCATTTCCACTCCTTTTATATATGACGCCTTTCGTTCGTTCTTTCTTTCTTTCTTTCTTTTTTATATATCACATCTTAACATTTTCTTTCTGTCTGCGTTTCTTTCTTTCATTCTTTTTTTCTTCTTAAACTTATTTTTTTATTTCCTTTTCTTCATTCGATACATATCATTCTGTAACCTTCTTTCTTTTTTTTTTTAAATTCCTCATTAATTATTCGATCTCGTCTAGAAATCAACCCTTGATATTTAGCAACGGAATTATTAATTTATGATTTGTCTCACATCTGTTGTTTGTTTTCATTTCTATTCCTATTCAACCAAACAGCTAACAAGAATAGTTTAGTGGCACTCTATCCTTTATGTCCCATAAAACAACAGACTCAATAATAATAATAATAATAATAAAACGAAAAAAAAACATTTTGCCTTGATCACTGACATTGTGTACATCCAAAACACTCTCCGCCATTGAGCAAATTTATTATCTTATACAGTAAATCACAGCAATTATTTTCGCTTAAGTCTTTATTGAAATCATTTCAAGTTTTATTTTATATAAAATACAATGTCACTTTTGTTTGTTTTTGTCACGCAGACACAGGATTCCCCAAAATATTCGATATTGACTCCAGGGAACTCATGCAAATATACAGGAGTCGATAAATGCGTAAGGAGTTAAAAAGGGGTTGATAATACCGGGGGGAATTGATTAAATGTTCAAAAAAAAAATTAAAATAATTAAAAAAAAAAAAAAAAAAAAAAACTGAACAGTATAATTCAAGAAAGGTGAATACGTAAAATAATACAGTAAAATACAATTTGCTGATAGACATTTCGGATTGATATTTAACGAGTTCACTCACTGCCGTTGTACTGGCAGCACAATGTTAAAAAAAAACGTCAAATTGAAATTTTTCATTTGAAATACTACGTTCAATATAAAATATATTCATTTTTAATACAAAGAGTCTTACAGAGAAACACTCGTCTGAAAGAGCGTAGTGACTTAAGTCTAAAACTCACCAATTTCCAACCAAATATCAATGTCATTGTTACAGCTCATCAAAAATATCCTTATCATTAATGATGCAAACCATTTCAATAAAAAGGTATAGTACTTTATTTTGTATGAGCTTATTATTGCCTATGTTATTTATGGAGTTATTATTATTATTATTTCCTTTGATATCTGGCGTTTACAGATTTCTTTCCGGGTCCCGCCCAGGGACCTAAGGTTAGAAATGTCATCATAACACTTTTGGATCCAACTTTCTTCTACTTGCTTTTGGCTTCAGTTTTCTTCAACTTGCTTTTGGTTCCACGCCTTAAAGAAATAAAAAAAAAATTGTCATCACATTCAAAGCTGACTCTCTACATAGGGCTTTGTCCATGTAAAATGCTTATGTGCTTGTTGGATTTTTGCACTAATGTTCAGTGGAAAAATGTCGTGATGCCATTTCTGACCTTAGGCCTCTGGTTGCGACCCGGAAGGAAATGAGTATAAAACAGGAAATAATAATAATAATAATAATAATAATAGCAATAATTATGAGAATAAATAAATAATAAATGTAATAATAATAAAGAAGTCATTCAATAATAATAATGATTTAATAATAATAATAATGATAATAATAAAGAAATACATTAATAACAAAAAATAATATTGTAGAAATAAGAAACTATAATTAATAATAAAGAAATTCAAAAAATGTACTCCCAAGTAGAGCTTTAATCTTATGAAGGGCTTTATTTATATAAATGTGTGTGATTTTAGGTTGCTTTTTTAATTTTTATTTTATAAAAAGTTTACTTGAATAATACCATTTTGAATTTAAATCTCTAGTTTGGATCCGGGAGGAAATGAGTATAGATCAGAAATCAAAGGAAATAATAATAATAATAATGATAAAAATCTGCAACTTCTACGGGAAGGAAACTGAAAGAAACTTGTATGAACACCACCCAGACCCGGTTACGGAGATAGGACCTGTTACAATTCTATGGGACTACACAATACACACTGACAGAACAATCAAGGCCAATCGGCCAGATATTGTTATTAAAGACCACAAACAAAAACGGTGCCTCCTTATTGACATGGAAATTCCTTGCTGACTGCAATGTATCTTTGAAGATATTCAAAAAGTTGTCAAAATACAAGGACCTTGAAATAGAAATCTCGAAAATGTGGCATATGGGAACATGAACAATCCCTGTTGTAGTTGGAGCCCTACGACTGGCTGGAAAAGATTGCAGTAGACTAATTGAAGGGATTCCTGGAAGTCCATGCCTCAAGGAGATACAAAAAATTGTTCTGACAAGTACAGCCCACACCTTACGAAGGGCTTTATCTATGTAATTTATTTATTTATTTTTATTTTTTTTTTGTCAGTGGAAAGTGTCATTTCTAACCTTAGGTCCCTGGACGGGACCCGGAAAGAAATGTGTAAATGCCAGAAATCAAAGAAAATAAAAATAATAATAATGATAATAATAATGTTTCACCGATTAGATAAATGTGCAAAAGTAACATTCAAGAAAGAGAGAATTACAACAACAACAATAACAAAAACCCTCAACAGATCTTGATTTTGTTACAAATATTAGGAAACTGAAACAAGAAGAAGCTTATGAGTCAGCGAAGGAGATTGAATACAGCATAGCCAAATGAATGAGAAAGTAAGAAAGGAGTACTACAGGCGTGTGCATATGGTGTTAAATACAGAATGGAAATCACAAAACAAAATATTAGCCATAAACATTTTGGCTGTCCCTGTGCTGTAATAGTTTCAACGTCCTTAATTTGACCATTCCTGAAATTAAGCGAATGGATTATCAAAACGAGAAAGCTTCACACTTGCCACCGCATGCATCGTCCTAAGGCTGATGTTGATCGTCCGTATGTGTCCAGATCCGAAGGAGGCACAGGATTAGAAAAACAAGAATTGCCCTACAAAACCACCACACTCGGTCTTCAAAAATACCCGGGAACAAAGATAGCTGAGAACTACAGAAGACTGGGTGATGATTTCTGTCAAAGAACATGAAAGAAATAAGAAACTTTATTCACTTATAAATGAAGCCAACAAATTCAAAAGGGAATTTCAAATGGATGGACAAGTGCAAGTAAACCATAATACATCTACTGCAGCGGTAAAGAACCTACGAAACAAAGCAAAAAAAATGTGCTAAATGCAGATAAGCTTATTCATTGTCAATACTCTGCCCGTATCAAACAAGCTGATCTAATCAAACCCTGTACCCATCATTGGTATTCATCAGTTAGAAGCTGAAACTGAAGGTTTTATTCTTGTTACGCAAGACAAATGTTTACTAACTATAAATTACTAAGCAGACATATTGAAAAATTGTGTCAAACCGAAATGCAGATTTCGTGATAAATATCCAGAAACATTTGACAATCTTGTATCAGATTCCGCTGTGTTGCCACCCACTGAATATAAAACTCAGCATGATAGAGTGTGCAAATATCTGCACTGGAAGATATGCCACTTTCATGGAAAGGAAACTGGTATGAACATCACCCAGAACCAGTTAAAAAGATTGGACCTGTAACAATTTTTATGATACTTTACAATACACACAGACAGAATAATGAAAGCTAATTGTTCAGGCATCGTGATCAAAAACAAAATGTTATTTCTTACTGACGTGGCAGTCCCTGTAGATTGTAACGTACCTTTGAAAGTCTTCAAGAACCTATCAAAATACAAGTACCTTGAAATCGAAATCTCAAAAATGTGGTACATGAGGGCATCAATAATTTAAGTTGTAGCTCCTTGGATTGACTGGAAAAGGTTCCGATAGACTCGTTGCCTGAAAAATTGTTCTCACAAGTCCAGCCCACACCTTACGAAGGTCTTTATCTATGTAAAATATGTATGGTTTTGGGTTGTTTTTTATTTCTTTCTTTCTTTTTCTTTTTTTTTTTTGCTCAGTGGAAAATGACATGATGCCATTTTTGGTCAGGAC